CAGAGTCGATGAACTGCTGCTGCGACGGCTGCGGCGGAGGCGATGGCTGCGACAGCAGAGGTGACGGCGGCTGCAGAGGCGGTGGAGGAGGAGGCACCTGCGGAGGGGCAGACGGCGAGGACTGTGCCGCAGGACCACCAGAGTCAGAAGACTCCTCGACCGGGACATCCGACGGGAGAGGGGTGACGTGGGACACACCAAAGGGGGCAGGACGGAGAGGGGGAGGGGGGGGGGGGCAGGGACAACCGGAGAAGGAGTGACCAGGAACAGGGGGGGAGAAACAGGGGGACCGCGGTGGGGGAAGCAACGGTAGAAGGAGACGCACTCGTCAAAGGTGACGTCGCGAGAGTGAAAGAAGCGGTGAGACGGCGGGTGGTAGAAGTGCCAGTCGGACGCGTCAAGGGGGAAACCGAGGAAGACACAGGGAAGGGTGCGGGCAGTGAGCTTGTCCGTGCCAGAGGCATGAACGTGAGCAAGGCAGCCCCAGACGTGGAACGCAGATGCGTCACCAGGGGACCCGGTCCAAAGAAGGGTCGGCGAAACCTGCGGCCGCTGGGGGTGCGGCCACAGGTTAAGCTGGTGAGCAGCGTAGCGGACGGCGAACGGCCACAGAAAATGGGGGGCACTGGCATGGATCATGGAGGTGCGAGCCACCTCCATGACCAAACCGATGCGTTGCTTGGCGACCCCATTCTGCTGTGGGGAGTCTGGCAGGGTGAACGTCTGGGTGATGCCCTCCGCACGACAGAAGCGACCAAGGACACCTGAGGCAAACTCGCCACCGCGATCAGAGTGAAGACGCAAGACAGGGAGACCTCGATGGACACGCGCAGAGACAAGCTAGGGGATGAGAGCGTCAGGCATGTCAGCCTTTTGCTCCAGGGGAAAAACTGTGGTGTAGCGAGTGAAGTCGTCGACAAGCACGAGGAAGTAGCGCTCTCGACGCGGCCCATGGACGGGGGCGGGGACGTCCATGTGCAGGGTCTGCAGCGGCGCGGCGGTAGGGGGAAACGAGGAGGAGTGAGGGGCACAGCGTTGCCGACCCTGGACACAAGGCGTGCACAATGGGGCGGGGGAGGAGGGAAAAGCGGGAAACGAACCGGGGAGGCCAAGGACTAGACCGTGCCGGGACATGTGACGCAGACGCGGGAGCGCAGGGTGACCTAGGCGGTGGTGACGCCAAGGTCCTGGAGGCAGCCGACACCAACTAGGTTCCTGGAGAACGAGGGGATATGCAGACCTGAGAGCGAGCCCAAAGGAACTGCCGGACAGGGAAGTGTGGTGGAACTGCGGGAGACTACTGGACCGCCGGAGGGGTCAGCAAGAGAAACTACAGCAGGAACAGGAAGCGGCGTCAGCGTAGTGGAGTCGCGGATGAAACACCGGGAAGCGCCAGAGTCCAAGGTGAAGGAAAGCGCAGCAGTGGCGTGTGGCGACGGGGCAACGACGGAGCACTAAGGCTAAACAATGGAGGAGCTTCTACGCCTGACGCAGCAGGGGAAGCTAAGCTAGGCACACCTACACTAGGTGACAAGGAGTAATAAGAGGGTAGCACACTAGAGTCATCAGCATACATCACATGCAGGGCAGCAACAATGGCATCCATGTCCATGTCAAAAATCTGAACTCTACGACTAAGCAAACTGGGCCAGTCCGGGAGGTCCGACGACGGGCCGAAGCGCTGACGAAACAGGTCGTCCAGGCGACGAAAATAGCGGGCAGTGGTGTGACCGATCTTACCGCAAACGAAGCCGCGGCGAGGACCGGTCTGGAGCTGGTACTGACAGCGCACGCCTCCCGAACCGCCACCCGGTACACCACCACGCACACGGCCACCACCAGCGCCAGGCCACCCGGGCGGGAGGTCACTCGCCGGCCGCGTCTGCTGCGGCTGGTGCTGGGGCTGCGGCTACTGCGGTTGCTGCGATTGCTGCGGGTGCTGCTGCTGCAGCGGCAGCTGGGGCGGCTGCTCAGCCGAACCCGGCAGGGACCCCTCGTCCGCTCCACCACCAGGCGACCCGACTCCACCACTACCTCCACATGCGCCCCCACCCCATATGATAACCCGGAGGCGGCCCCAAGGCATCCATGGGTCAGCAAGGCAACTGGTAAAACTATGCTAGTATATCAAGGGTGGTACACAGATCCTATAGCTAACCGAGTACAGATACCACATGCAGATCAACAATGGCAGAGGTGTGTAAGTAAAGGCTGCTTCGTGGATATGATCGCCGATAGAGATGACACTACGGAGGTGCGTGTCGTTTCTGGCTGTGCTGTCGCCCGTGTGTGTAAAATGCGATACGCTTACTTGGTTTCTTTGCATGCCGTTCTTCGTACAGGTCCATATCCTACTACTCGGCGTGGATTTCCGCGTAGAGATGCATCTCCGAGGTCCTCCCGTGGGCCCGTAGGAGAGAGTGCATCATACGCCATTGAGGAACGAGACCGGCGAGGATGACCGTAACGAACGAGTTCCCAATAAATTCTCACCACACCGTAGGAGTCTGTCGCGTAGTTGTGAGAGTACGACCCCGTTACACTTCTCATTTCTATATTTTTTCCTCTATCTCATCCGCCTTTTCCTCCTGATTCATTTGGTCTTTATCTCATCTCATTCGGTTTCCTATTCCTCATTTTCCGTTATCCTTTGGTTTATCATATTATTATAATTATTTCTCCGACCAGGCTCGGGATGTACTGGCGCGCTATATCTAGCGTAATCTTGCCGTAATCCCTTAAAGCAAATAGCTCACATGGCTATACGCTGAGGGATTCTATTTTCTAGAAGGGCATATTCCTTCTAGGTAGAATAAACTTAGTTACCTGATGTACCTTGGAAATATAAAAGCGCCTTGTATCGATCGATAGTGCAACTTTCTCTCGACCATTTCGATCATATAACACTTGGTATCAGAGCTTTTCTCACTCGGCCGCGCCCAGCTAAGCAGCAGCAGCGGGAAAACCTGCCTCGAAAAACCGCCGGGCGAATAATTCGACGTCGACTCTGGTAAGCACCAGCTCCGCGTTTAATGAATTAACCCATCAGCGTGTGTTTTGAATACGATAGCAAACTTCAACAATGCTAAAGTTATCCAGCAACTCTTTGCGTGCATTGCCGGCCTATAGGAGGCGATGCGAGCCGACTGCGAAGCTTGGCAAAACGAGTTCGAGTGAGTAACGCGACTCACCGGCGTGCAGCACGAAACAACAACGGCGACGACACAGCAGTCACTGCAATTTCTCGAGGCTCCGAAGACACACCCACCTTAGCCATTCGATCCGAGCGACCGCAACTCTGATGTCCGTAGATGGATCGCCAGCATGGAGATCTACTTCGCAGCCGTCGGATGGAGCTCACCGGTCTGGGACGGTCAGCGCGTGCGACTAGCGGCGACACTGACGCGAGGGCCGGCACTCGAGTGGATCGGTGGCAACAGTACTTTTATCAACAACGAAGCCATGTGGCTGCAGTTCAGCACCGACCTGCTGAAACGTTCCGAGCCGATAAATTCGGGATTACTTGCCTGGGAAAATTTTCATCGCCATCGACAGTTTGGGAGTGTAGCGCGACCAGACGTTAAGCTGGTGAGCAGCGTAGCGAACGGCGAACGGCCACGGAAAATGGGGTGCACCGGCATGAATCATGGAGATACGAGCCACCTTCATGACCAAACCTATGTGTCGCTCAGCAACCCGATTCTACTGCGTGGAGTCCGACAAAGTGTACGGCTGGGTAATGCCCTCCGCACGACACAGCTGTACAAGCCGACCAGAGGCAAACTCACCACCATGGTCAGAGTGGAGACACAACATAGGGAGACCGTGGTGGAGGCGCGCAGCTACGACCCACGGGATAAGAACGTCAGGCACGTCGGCCTTCTGCTCTACGGGAAACAGCGTGGTGTAGCGCGTATAGTCGTCGACGAGCACATGAAAGTAGCGCTCGCGACGAGGTCTGGGGACGGGGGCTGGGTCCCAGACGTCCAGGTGCAGGGTCTGGAGGGGTGCGGTGGTAGGGCAAAGCGAGGAGCGAGGAGCACGGCACAGCCGACCCTCGACTCAGGGCGTGCACGACGGCGCAGGCGAGGGAGGGAGGGTAGGAAGCGACGCAGGGAGACCTAGGACGAGACCGTGCTGGGACATGTGACACTAGGGGCCATCAGGGTGCGCGAGGGGTCGACGGGCACGCTAGGGGCCGACAGGCATGCTAGGGGCCGGCGGGGTGCACGAGGGGCCGGTGGGGCGCTACGGGCCGGCAGGGCACTAGGGGCCGGCGGGGCGTGGTAAGGCTTGGGCACGACGAGGCGGTAGGCTAGGGCGAGGGGCGGAAGCGGGTGGGCGGACCTTGTCAGAAACCCAGTCACTAACCACTGGGTTAAAAGGGCTTGTTAATAGCGGGTCAATGCGCCCATAGCCCCCCAGGCTCTGCACCTATGGCCCTTCCCCGAGGATCTCAAGGCCAACCCCAGCGGGTCACTCAACACCCCCCCCCCCCGCTGGGATAGGTGGAAGACACGAGCGCCTCTGCAGCGCTGGCACTGGGAGTTGAACCCAAGACCTTTGGCTCTGATACCATGTCAGAAACCCAGTCACTAACCACTGGGTTAAAAGGGCTTGTTAATAGCGGGTCAGTGCGCCCATAGCCCCCCAAGCTCTGCACCTGTGGCCCTTCCCCGAGGATCTCAAGGGCAACCCCAGCGGGTCACTCAACAGACCTAACCTACTCTGATACCATGTTAGAATAGGAGAATGACTAGAAACAAGAGAGTACAGGGGAGATATAGGGTTGGAGTTGTACTCTTTCAGAACACAAACCTATCTAGCCTAAAACTTCTACATGCAAATATATGTATAAGTTGACATGTACCGCTCATTTCCTTGCCGTAACATGATCCAACACCTGGACAGGCGGTTTAATTACCGATCATTGTATGCAATTTCTTTAGTCCAGGACTAGGCATAAATTTATGAAATTTTGTTGAGTCTCAATTCTTTTATCTTCGTTTGTTTTTTTGTTGATCGGTCATACAGTTTGACAAGGTGGTTTTGGTCACTGTACCGAGCTACCTTAAACATTACTGGTCAGATATTTTTAATCAGTGAGTGACGGGGCTGATGCATGTCTGACTCAGTCATCCCAGTTTTAACGAATCACATCTCATCCCAACTTGGCAGCTTCCAGGCCACCTCATTCGTGCCTCACCCCCTGACCTAGTGCCGAGGCTCAGCGGCGGAAGATCACCTGCTTTCGGTTTCGGCGGGCTTACACATGGCCGCCACGTCACGCGCACCAGCGTACCAGCTGCTCCGTGCCAGAGCCAGGCCGACCAAACCAAAACGACACGCGGGGCGTGCGTGAGCTGCTCGCGGACCTCTCACCTCGCCTCACCTCCCTCCTCCTAGTCAACTCACCCTCCACCCCCGCTTTCCCGCCAGCAGCCGACACCCGCCATGGCCGTGTGAGACGAGTCTCATGCTGAGATTCCCAGTTGCCGCACATTCTCATAAACTGAAGCCGCACTAGTAACTAGTATTTAGTAGCACGGCCCGTGCAGTGTCACTGTTGTATGCACTTGGCTCTCTGAGTTGTAGTACATCGCCATGGCGATGACGACACAGTACTCGGCAGCTCCATCGTTTTCTAGCACAAGATTACCGCCGCGCTGCCCTCAAGCGCATCTCCCCTACTATTCAGACCGTCCGTCGCCCTCACCGCTCTGCTTCTCGCGCCTGCACTCCGCCCGTCCCGAGTCGAGCTGTCGGCCGTCGCGGCTACATCTCGCTCTTCCCTCTCGCCCGCCCTCTGCTCGCTGTGGCTCCCCACTGCGCGTCGCTCGCCTCGCGGTGGCGGCCGAGCAGCAGCGAGGGGAGAGCGGCGGTGGCGGCAGCAGGGGCCAACGCGGGGCGGGCGCGAGGGAGGACGACACGAGGGATGGTGGGCTGGAGGACAAGGGTCCGACTGGGTGCGACGGGCGCAGCAGGCGGCGGGAAGAGCAGGGCGCGGAAGAGGCGAAGGGCCGAGTGGGGCCGCGGGTGGCGGGCGCGGTGGAGTCGCTACTGAGATTCATCACGCCGCGGCAGAAGGGCGACATCCGCGACGTCACGCTCGTCTCCCTCTCCTTCGCCGTCCTCGTCTACATCTCGCAGCGCCTCGTCTGCGCCTACTTCGCGCTCCTCGCCGCCACCCAGTACTGGTAGTAGCGCCGCCGCTGCCGCCGCACAGGACGAGAGTGCCTGCGCTGCAGAGAGGGGTTGACTCCAGCTGCGCGGGCTGAAGCGGCCTGGCAGCAGGTCAGAGTGGTGCAGCAGCAGACCAACGCGTGTTGTGATGCCTGACTTGATCTGCTGGCCTTCGCTTCATGCATCTTGTTTGTGTGTCCTTTAACAAGAGCTCCTATGGTTTTCCTCTCACCTCCCTTTTATTCAGGGAGAATACATCGGCGCTCAGTATTAGGGGCCTCGATAACATGTACGGTCAGTGACACCATATAAACAATCAGAATTAGTGAGTTCGCAAAATGTTTCATCAGTCGGGTTCCACCGTTAGTCACAAACTACAGGAAAAAAGTTCCACGAATGGTCAGTAAAAGTACCGTAATCACCCGGATAGACGCCCCTAGGGGCGTTTATAGGACTGGTTTGAAAACGTGGGGGGGCGCTTAATTGAATAAATAATATACGCCCATGGGCATTTAAAAAGGTATATAAGCAAATTGAATTTTCTACATCAAATTGTAGCTTTTGCTTTGTTTCATGCGATGGGATCACTTCTATGGAAGATTCTCAAGTCCATCAGGCTGAAAGTCCAGTCGGCAATGTGCCAGGCAGGGCTCAAATTAGCCGGGTAAAATGCCCTGATTGCCCTGATTTTTCAGGGCATTTTTTCATTTGGTCTTAAAAATCAGACTTACGAAAGTTATTACCCTGATCCAAAAAGTGTTACGAAAATATTACCCTGCCGAAACTAGGGTTGCGGGGCCCCGAACCCTGACCCTTCAGGGCGTCCTGAAAACTACCCTGGTATCGAAACTCCGAGATTCCGACTAAGTCCTTGGCGGCCAGAAAGATTTCCCCCAAAACACCCTGCAACCAAAAATTTCGACGAAGTCCCTAGCGGCCAAAGTCATTCCTCCCACCCCACGCACCATGCAAGCCAGCCATTTCGGCTAAGTCGTAGCCAGAGTCATAGCTCCCTCACCCCCTCGCAACCCAGAAATGGCTAAGTCCCCCACAAGAGACATGCCTCCCAACCACACCCCCGCTACTTTTTTTTTTCGCAGTCCTCCACACCATAGCAAGACACGTCACGTCGTATACGCCCTTCTGACACCCAACCAATCACGAGCAGATGGTTTTTTTCCCGCCCCTCTGCCGCCCATGTAAATTTGATTCCCCTCTCGTGCCCCAGAATCGTTTTCCGTCCCATCCCATTCCCCAATCTCCCCCAGCACGCGCAAATCCGCTACACACTTCTTTCCACACCTCAGTGCAGCCCACTTCATTCATGTAAAATGTTCCTTAAATGGCCAAGGCTAGAAAGGGTGCAAAGAGTTCTACACTTGAAGCAAAGACTTCGAATTTTTTTACCCTGCCAAATCAGACTTAGAATTTTTTTAGCTCTGACCGTCAGGGCATTTTTTTTTTCCTACTCAGATCTCAAAGAGTGGCCTAAAACCAATTTTGGGCCCTGGTGCCAGGCTGGTAGCAGATGGCTCTGACGCGAATCCTGCAGGCGCGAAGTGCAGAAGGGCGCAAATTGCGCTTCTGGCTGGTACAGTGTTGAGTGACCCGCTGGGGTTGCCCTTGAGATCCTCGGGGAAGGGCCACAGGTGCAGAGCCTGGGGGGCTATGGGCGCACTTACCCGCTATTCAACAAGCCCTTTTAACCCAGTGGTTAGTGGCTGGGTTTCTGATATACAGAGCGAAAATTCTCGCTATTACCCGAACTCGTTCCTTCCGTTTTGCACAGTTTTTACAAAATAATAGAGGGGCGTATAGGGTACACACTTTCGGAAAATAAGGGGGGTGTTTATGTCAACTTATACATATGTTCTATGTAGAAGTTATAGGCTAGACTAGGTGTGTGCTTCTAGTGAGTACAACCCAACAGGTATATGTTCTAGGTTCCTCGTTCTAGTAATCATTAACGTATTCTAACATGGTATCAAGTAGGTTAGGTCCCCCCGCCCACTTCCGCCCGCGCCCTAGTCTCTCGCCCGCCCTTAGCCGGCCCCCTGGCCGTCACGTCCGCCCCTAGTTGGCCCCCTGGCCGTCGCGTCCGCCCTTAGCCGACCCCCTGGCCGTCGCGTTCGCCCCTAGTCGGCCCCTTGACCGTCGCGTCCGCCCCTAGTCGGCCCCTTGGCCGTCGCGTCCACCCCTATTCGCCCCCCTGGCCGTCGCGTCCGCCCCTAGCTGGCCCCCTGGCCGTCGCGTCCGCCCTCAGCTCGCCCCCTCGCAGTTCGCGCCCGCTCCTAGCCGGGCCCCTGGCTTTCGCGCCCGCCCCTAGCTGGCCCCACTGGCCGTCGCGCCCGCTCCTAGCTGGCCCCCTGGCCGTCGCGTCCGCCCTCAGCTGGCCCCCTGGCCGTTCGCGCCCGCTCGTAGCCGACCCTCTGGCCGTTCGCACCCACCCCTAGCTGGCCCCACTGGCCGTCGCGCCCGCTCCTGGCCGGCCCCCTGACTGTCGAGCCTGCTCCTAGCCGGCCCCAGCAGCACCTGCCCGGCCTCTTCCTAGCGCCGCCCGCCCTCTCCTACCGCCCGCCAGTCCCAGTGCGCCCGCCCGGCCCCTCCTAGCGCCAGCCCGGCCCTGTCACGCCTGCCCGGTTTTCAGCGCCAGCCCGGCCCCTCCTCCTGCCCGCCTGGCCCCTCCTCGTGCCTGCTCGGCCTGCCGTGCCACCTCGGGCCTCGTGTCCTCTGCTAGCCCGCGCCGGGGCGCCCCGCAGCCGCCCTACTGGAGAGTGCTGCCGCCATGTCCCCGTGCTGCTATGCTCCTGCCGAGCTGTGGAGCTGTGCTGCTGTGTCAGTGAGGAGCTGTGCCACTGACCCTGCACGATGGCTGACTTCGTGCTCCGCCTGGACGCTGAGGACCACGCGGTTGACTTCGTCGCCTGGCTCTCCGATCTCCGCCGTCAGCTTACAAGTCAGTGCCAGGATGGGCACTAGCTGGATGTCCATGCTGATGGCTTGCTCCCCTGCCCCCCTGCACCTGCTCCCCTCCCTGCTGACCCCACCTCCGCTGAGAGTGAGGCTTTCTCTACTGCTGCGCTTGCCTGTGCAGTCTTGGACTCACGCGATGCAGTAGCCCAGGTTGCTATCAGTCACGCCCTCCCTGTGTCTGAGCGCCCGCGTTTCGCTACAGTTGATACGGCCAAAGCTTATTTAGACGCTGTTATTGCTCGCTATTCCACACCTGCATCCACTTCTGCCGACCGCCTGCTCTTCCCGATGCTGTTCCCAGACCTCGCTGCCTTCCCTACTGTCGCAGACGTTGCCACTCACTTGCGTGCCCTAGAGACTCGCTATCGCACTGCCAGCACTGCTGCCTAGCTCACTGCGCTCCCCCCCCCATTCTGCATGACCCTCTATTTTATCGCCATGCGCCTGCCGGACCGCCTAGCTAGTGCCCGCGACCGCTTCCTTAACCAGCACCCGGGTGACCTCACACTGACCGCCTTTGTCAACACCCTCACCGAGATCGAGATGCGCCAACGCACTATCGCTCAGTCGAGCAGTGCGCCGGCAGTCTCTATCTTTCACGGCTGTGCCCCCTCCCAGTGCACGTTTACTGACGTTTCGGCTGCGGTCGCCACTGCGACCCCTCTTACCAAGACGGCAGCTGCGGTCCACCCGCAGCAGCGTCCGCGCCGTGGTGGCCGTGGCCGCCAGGGAGGTCGTGGTGGTGGCACTAGTGGTGGTGGTAGTGGTGGTGGTGACGGTAGTCCACCTGAGGGGACTACCACCAGTGGGCAGGAGCAGACGCAGTCGCCTTCGCAGCCGGAGCAGCCCCAGGAGCAGCCGCGGCCGTCCCAGCAGCAGCCGCCGCCGTTCCAGCAGCAGCCGTCGAAGCCATGGGCTCGTCTCCCACCTGGTTGGCCCGGCACCTCCGGCAGTGGTGGCCGAGGTGGTGGCCCGCGCAGCTTGGCGTCTACCGGCAGCTCCAGTGCTGTGACCTGCCAGTACCAGCTTCAGACTGGGCCTCTCCGCGGCACTCTGTGCCGCCGCCCGCACCCGACCGCCCGCTGTTTCCGCCGCCTTGACGATCTCTTTCGTCATCGCTTTGGCCCGGCCCCGGACCTTCCCGACTGGCACAGCCTGCTTCGCCAGGTCGTGCCGATCTTTGAGTTAGATATGGATCAGATAGGTGCTGCTTTGCATGCTTTGTATGCTGACGCGTCTAGTGTTGCTGGATCCTATTACCCTGTGTACTCTAGTTTAGGTGTCTCACCCTTGTGTAGCTTAGCCTCCCCTGCTGTATCAGGCGTAGGACTGCCTAGTTTGCCTAGCCTAGGTTCTGCACCGGCTCCGTTCCCAGCCTCCGCCACTGCCTCGCTGTCCTTCACTCTCGACTCCGGTGCTTCTGCCTGTTTCTTCCGTGACCGCTCCATGCTTACGCCGCTTGCTGCGCCTGCTGTTGTCTCTCTCGCTGACCCCTCTGCGGGTCCCGTCGTCGCTCGTAGTTCCATGTCCCTTCCCTGTCCAGCAGTTCCCTCGGGCTCTCTTACAGGCCTCCACGTTCCCTCGTTCTCGAGGAACCTGTTTGGTGTCGGCTGTCTTCAGGACCTCGGCGTCACCACTACGTTCCCCGGGCATGAGCGGTTCGCTGTCTGTTCTTAGGCTGTCTCAGGTTCCCCACTTGCTACGTTCCCTCGGGACTCGGTGTCCGGACTGTTCACCCTAGACACCGCTTCCCCCCCAGTTGGTGCGTTCTCCCAGGTCGCTGCAGCTTGCTCGTGTCGGTCTCTCACTCACTCGTCCCTTTTGTGGCACCACTGCCTAGGTCACCCTGCACTCGCGCGTCTGCGTCACATGTCCCAGCACGGTCTTGTCTTAGGCCTCCCCGCGTCGCTCCCTGCCCTTCCCCTCTCGCCTGCTCCACCGTGCACGCCCTGCGTCGAGGGCCGGCTCCGCCGTGCCCCTCACTCCTCCTCGCTTCGCCCTGCTACTGCTCCACTTCAGACCCTGCACCTGGACGTTTGGGGCCCAGCCCCTGTCCCCGGACCACGTGGCGAGCGCTACTTTCTTCTGCCTGTCGATGACTACACGCGCTACACCACGGTGTTTCCCCTGGAGCGGAAGGTAGATGTGCCCAACATTCTTCTCCTGTGGGTTGTGGCTGCGCGTCTTCACCGCGGTCTCCCCGTGTTGTGTCTCCACTCTGACGGTGGCGGAGAGTTCGCTTCTGGTCGGCTTGGACAGTTCTGTCGTGCGGAGGGCATCACCCAGTCGTACACCTTGCCGGACTCGCCACAGCAGAATGGGGTTGCTGAGCCCCGCATCGGCTTGGTCATGGA